TCACTCGACATGCGTGAAAAGTTGTAATGTTCAAGCTTACACTATTTCGCTGAAAGGGCACCGATAATCGTGGGCGATGAACGTCACGATGAATTCCCACCTAATGCCCTGTAATGGTAAGGGTAGTACCATACCCTACGCATTGTGGGCCTTGCGGAGAGTGTGCACCTTGCGAACAGTGCAGACTTTGCGAAGAGCTTCAACCCACGCATTGGCGCATTTCGCGTGCTTGGCGCACAGTCGACACCTTCTAATCGATAAAAATTAATTTTATTACATTTTCAATTTTTAATTTAATTTTATTGTTATTACACTTTTTGTATATTTTTAAGCGCTCTACATGCGGTGATGCTTTCGCTCGTGGTTTTCTAGCCCGAAACTCCAAGTTTTTGTATGAGTTATTGTTTTGCACACTAATGAACTCACAAGCTAAAGCAAGCCGGCGAGTGGTACACCCTTAAAAAATACAGAATGCAATGAAATTGAAATTATCGACCAGCAGGCGCTGTCTGTGTTATGCGCCAGTGTGCATGTTGACGCTCTTCGCAGGTCCGCATTGTCCGCAGCGTTCGCAACGGCGCAAAGTATGCAAGCGATCTACGGAACTACGCTACTGCCGCCAGAGATTAAATTGAAAATATTTATATCTCTCATCTCTATCTCACATAATATTTTTCTACTTGGCCCACTTAGTGAGCTTTTTCATGCCTACTCTCCTGTTTCAGCTATGGTCGCCGTCCCGTGTTGATATCTTGCTTCGTGATTATGGCACTAGTCGGGACCGTGGCAGCCTTTTCCCCATCAGCGATGGTCTTTGGAATACTTCGATTTATCCAGGGGAATTTTCTATACAGTGAGGTATTATTATACTGTTATAGATGAACTGCTTCTAAATCTATTAACTTACTTGTTATTTGAGGGCGGAGCTCTGGTTGGTTGGGTACTTGGCTATGAGTGTACACCTGTTCAACTACGCTTCTTTACCTCCGGTCTGATATTTTCCAATATTTTCTCATATGTCTCTTGAAAATAATCTTTCAACTTGTAATTTTCAGTATATTTTGGAATGGCATGGGTTACCGGTTACTGCCTTGTGACACCACTTGCCATGCTTGCACCCAACTGGCGATGGCTGATCTTCTTCGTCTCCGTGCCACAACTCATCACTGCTGCCCACTTTGCTACTTGTAAGTACTCTAACTTTTACTGCTAGGCTGATTTTCAACAGCGCGATGGCGCCAACCAATGTAGTATTTCCTTTCGTTCATGCGAGGTCGCAAAGTCTGAAGCCGAAGCGCATTAGCTTCATCATCAATCAGATCTTTACGATGCGGCACGCATTCTACTTGCGTTGCAGAGTCATGTAGCGGCATTTTGAAGCGCGTTACGGCCTGGATAACTGCTAGCCGATGTACAAGTCATTTTTTATCAACACTCTCATTGTTGGAGAAGTTTAGCAGCAATCGTCCCACTCCAGAGGTATGGAAGGCTTGCTGGGCTGGACCGAAATCCGATCCGAAATTCGGGAACCCAGACCTTGTGGGTGTGGCGACGCTTCCCATTACAACCCCCCATCTCGTAATCCACACTCTTTATTAAGGTACTTAGTGCATCTTGGGTAGTAAAAGAACAATAGCAACACTTCCAACGCATTCAAGTGCCAATCATACGATTCCGAGTTATTTTATGTATGTAGAACGGGCATCGCTAGATCATCCTAAGTCATTAATTTATGATAAATGTTGATTCCTCTATCGTTTCACGTTGCTAAGTATTCAAGGGTACATATACTAGATGTTTAATTTGGAGCAGAGCGTTCGCTTTCTGGAGGAGTCACACAGTCCACTTCTACGCACATTCCAATAGTAATCAAATGCAATTTGGTCTATAGAATGACTTGCGCAGCAGTGGGCTCTCCGGGTTAATGCCCTCTCATATAAGCCTGATACAACTGTACCGTTCCCAGGAAGTTGAAAAGCTCAGTTAGCCCGAGCGAGACTTGATCTGGGATCCCGGACCGTGTGCAAGGAGAGCAGCGCCGATTGCTACTTCACACGACCCTGCTTTCCATCGAAAATGCGCTCTTCTAACTCACTTTCTATTCCAATTTTCTAGGGAACACAGTTGTAAGACGGCTCGAAAACTTAATTGAATTCAGATTTGTACCAGAAAGTCTGCACTACCTGGCTATCGAACGTCAAGAAAACGAGATAGACGTTTGGCTGAAGAAAGCCGGCCGATGTCACAATAATGTCGCAGATATCGATCCTAGTACTGTCATCAGTACTAGGCAGGAGGAACCAAAGTGCATGATCTACCTTACCCAGTGGAAAGCTCCCCAAGCATTTATCCACGTTATTTCAGAGTATCCAACTTATTCATCGAAATATGGGAGCACAAAAGGTTTCTGCTCTATATGATCGTCCTTATTTATCTCTGGTTCGTTCTAATCTCTGGAATTTTTAAAGCCATTTTCAAGTCTCCATTTTTTGCAGTGTTCTCGAGCTCCAATTTCAGGAACTGTGACACCTTCATCTATTTTGGACTTTCTCTGTACAGTACACATTTTGCTGGTAATATCTATCTAAATTATTTGCTCGTGGGA